CGCCAGGTGAGGGACGGAGCGGATCCCCGCCCGCTTATATAAAACAAGCTTTCCCCAGTGGTTTGGGGACAGGAATTTTCTTAGGGAGCAGCGTACAAGTCTTGCTATCCAGCTCTGCTGTGGCCTCACCCAGGCGGGTCGTTGGTGCTCCCTGAGGGAGCCCTGGTGCCGCTAGCCAAGCCCTCATGGATCCTGTGAGGGTTAGAGTTACCGTGAGGGGAAATTCTTCTTCTCATGAGTTACCGTGAGGGGAAATTCTTCTTCACTATATAATGAAGAATGTCCAAAAGTTAGCTACTGCAATTAAGTGCTGGGAAGAAGGAGCAGCACCCCAGCAAACTTACTCTCAACAGCAATTTGTTTTCTTTCTTCTGGCACCGCCAGTTTTCTAATAACTTCTTTCATTATATTTTCCACAACCAGACTCAATTTCTTCGCGCTCAGTCTGATGCATGAATTGCCTGACCGTGGTGTAAAGTCATTGACAGGACAAAGAACTTGATTCATCTTCCTCGGAGACACATCCTTCATGCCTCAGCTTTGACCTCCTGTCTGAAAGCTTGTCAGTTCAGGATTAATAGTAAGCAAGACTTGATTTTATGTTGGAAATTAACCTTAAATTATTAATTGGTCTCAATTTCAAACAATTATTTTGTTTAGGAATGAACGTGTGTTATGATCCCAGCAGATGACAGGTAAAAACAAGCAGACATTTTAAAATACCACCAAGGCTGACCTGATAGGAGAGCTCCCTTTTAAGACAACTGCCCCAAAAAAGGGTTAATGGCAGATTTGATTATTTCCCTAACAATAACCAAAAAGACAATTCGAACCAGCTGCAACCAATAACAGTTACTGTGGCAGAGAGGGGTGCAAGTGGAAAGACTAGTGCTTTTTCAGTGCTGCACTTGGAAAGTTCTAAGTACAGCATGGAATAGGGAGGGTCATGATGATGGTCTTTCAACACAAGTTAGAAATCACAGAGGAGATTGGAGTTTATTTTTTCCCACTATTCCTTCACTTCAGGAGGGAGAGTACCCATGAGTCAGGGGGAAGCCAAATGGTAGCACATATAGTCTGATTCATATTGGTTCTGAAAGGTAAACTTGTGTTGTCCCAGCACAAGGAGTGTGATGCTCAGAGTCCTTTACCACTGTTACCTTTTGGGCTTCAGTTTAAACCCCTGTCTCCCATCCGTGGTCCTTAGAGGTTTTCAGCTGAATGAATCTGAGAGGTCTGATCCAGTCCCCAGCTGTGTATGTGCTACCTAATATCCTCCTAAAGTTGTGTTTGTGTGCAGCATTTTGGGGTTTTGATCCAAAATGCTGCATTTTCCTTCAGAAGTTGCCTCCCAAGTCTGGCCAGCTGGCTGAGCTCTGGTATGGAAATCAAGCTGGGTAGGTTTCTCCCCATAGTTCCAATTGGCAGAACCGGGAAGTTTTGTAAAAGCTACAAGGGAAGAATTGGGAAGTTTTGTAGCTTTGGGGCTCCTTCGGGTGGAGGCAGGACCGGTGCACAAAGTGTTCAGGTTCGACCCAGAGGGCTGAGCTAACAGATGCTGGCTGGGTCCCTGCTCTCAGGGGGGTTATTGCATATTCATGAGCTGACCTTTTGAGCCACTCCCAATGCAGGGAGGCCCTACAGCCACATTTTGGCTGCAGTATTTGGAATATAAAAGTTGCCTATATGACTGAGTGTGAAAACGGCTTGGGGTTTATTATCTCAAGTCCTTTCTGTCTGCATTTCTTCTGAAGCCCCTCCTTCTGTCTGCATCTGCTCTGGGGTGGCCCACAACCCCCCAGTTTATCTAGCAATTACTGTCTTCCAAGGTAGAGTCACCAGGGTATGCAGTGGGGAGAAATGGCATTCTAAATTAAGAGCCTCTCACACACTTGCAAGATGATAATTTGTCTGTAACAAAACTCCTCATTAGAATACTGTTAATTTCCTTTCTGTGGCAATTATAGCACAGCACTAGCTCATATGTGCAATGTGCAGAGATATTTCCCTGAAAAAAAAAAAAAAAACAACCCAAAACCTATCATTACCAGTAGTGAAAAACAGTCCTTAGAGAAGAAAAATGAACTTGTAATTTTGCAGCAATTTCTCAATTTAGTGGGAGTTTGGTGTTAAGGTAAGGAGTTCTGGGGGTTCTCGCTGCTGTTGATTGCATTCCTGTTAGACTTCACAGTTGGCATTTTCCCACTAGCATCTGGAATCAGAGATGCTACAGTCCCCAGCTGAGTGGAACCTGTTACCCCTGAAATTCAGCTCATCTATTTTCTCTTTACTCTAAAAACTCACTTCCCTCCTCCCTACAGACATAATGACTGCTGTTTCTTTCTGTTGGCATAGCATATTTTTGCTTATCCATCTGTTTTGAAGTTTTGATGAGGTTTAGTTTTTCAATCAAAAAGAGATTGTTTGTATAATCACTGTTTAGTGCCTGGAATATTTTGGCAGGAGTGGTGTGAGTGAAGCGGGTTAGTCCTTCTCAGAAGTGCTGGATTTGGTATCCTGTTCTTATGCTTCAGGAGAGCAGGCTGGACAGGCTCTAGACCAGGGAGAAATGGCTCAAGGAATTGCCTTTAAATGTGCAGAAGGTCTGCTCTGTTTCACTGATGTCATTAAGGGGACAGAAGCCCTCCTCTTTGTCAGCTGCACTGAAGACCTGAGAAGAGCTTTTATTTTGTTGTCATTTTCCTGAATCCTGAGCTTGAAAAGTTCTCTTCAGGTCCAAGGGCTCTGGTTTTACTTCTCTGCTGTGTGCCCTGCTACTGCAGCATGGAAGATCCTGCTCCTTTTCCAGAGGTATTCTAGCTGATTTGTTCTTGGTTTTGTGGTTGGTTGATTTTTAAACAGGTTGTAGAGAAAAGAGGGGCTTCCAGCTTGGTTCTGTACTCGTGGCTGAGGTGTGTCTGAGCCGGTATTGAACCTTTTCATGAAGAAAACACAGCCTGTGGTGCTGGACTCTGCTCTGGCTGTGCTCTGTCTGGCTTTTAGCAGAAAGCAGAGGCACTGGCACCATGTGGATCAGCTCGCCCTTCCCCCTTGCCAACCTGCTATTTCTGTACTTGATTGGAAGAAGCTAAAACTGCTGGATTTTTGCCGGCAGTCAAGGCATTCCTCAAGTTCCTAATCCAGGCTCCAGATGGTTAAGTTGTCCATCCTGACATATAGGAACAAGTAATTATGGTAAAAGATGTAAACCCCCGCAGCAGCCTCTCACGGTGAGCCTCTAG